AGAGAGGAGAGAGGAGGACAGTCCTACTACCAAAACCAGTGTCATCCCAGGGGAACTGTGTGCATACTTAAAACTGAACCTCCCTGAACAGTAACACCAGAGGTACAACACTGTTGGCACAAAGGAGGAGAAGCAGATTTCATTAAAACAATCCCAAAGCAAATAACAAGATAATAAGAACACACCTGGAAGAGAGGGCAGTACCTGGAGGTACTACAATATATTATCTAAAATATCCACTTCCCAATGTGTGCAGATAAACAGGAAAGCATGACCCACATATTGGGAAAAAACAAGGGGCGGAGGGGGGGGGGAACTGCCTGTGAGAGGAATCAGATATTGGATTTATCCAAAGAAGATTTTAAAGAAGCCATTATAAATATGTTCACAAGCTTGAAGGAACTAAAAAAAAAGTGAGAGGACTTAGTAGAATTGGAAATGAAAGAGGGGACATTACTACTGATTTTATCAAAAGAAGAAGCATCATAAAGGAATACTATGAATAATTGTATACCAACAAATCAGATAATTTAAAGAAAATGGACCATTTCCTAGAAAGACACAAACTACTGAAACTCTCAAGAAGAAACAGTCAATCTGAATAGATTTATAAGAAGTAAAGCGATTGAATTAATAATCAAAAGCTATCTACAAAGAAAAGCCCAGGGCATGATGGCACCACACATTCAATGAAGAATTAATACCAATTATTCACAAACTATTGCAAAAAATAAAAAGGATAAAACACTTTAGAACTCATTTTATGAGGTCAGTATTCCCTCATACCAAAATCAGACAAAGATATTACATGAAACCTACAGGCCGGTATCTGCTGGGAATATGAATAAAAATATGGATAAAAATAAAAATCTCCAGCAAATACTAGTAAAGTGAATCCAGCAACATCTAAAATGAATTATACACCATGACCACAAGAAATTTATCAGGAATGCAAGGTTGCTTTAACATCCAAAAACCAATTAATGTAAGAAATAATATCAATAAAATTAAAGAAAAAAAAAACACCATCTCAAAAGAAATAGAAAAGGCATTTGACAAAATTTAATACTTTTTCATGATTAAAACACTCAAAAAACTAGGAATAGAAGGAAACTTCCTCAACTTGATAAAGAGCAACTAGGAATAGAAGGAAACTTCCTCAACCTGATAAAGAGCTATCTGATAAAATCACAGCTAATATCATGCTCAATGATGGAAATCTGAATGCTTTCCCCCAAATCAATGCTTTCCCATGCAAACCATGGCTGATGGTTTCAGCCACAGAACTTAGGCAAGAAAAAGAAAGCAAAGGCATTCAGATTAGAAAAGAAGTTAAAACAATCAATTTATAGATAATCTTCTATACAGAAAATCCTAATGAAACCACTAAAAAACTATTACAACTAATAAACCAGTTCAGCAAGGTTGCAGGAGAAAAGATCAGTATATAAAAATCAATAGTATTTCTATATACTTGCAGTGAATCATAGAAAAATAAAATTAAGAAAACTATTTCTTTTACAATAACATCAAAAAGGATAAAATACTTAGGAATAGATTTAGCAAAAGATGGGCAAAATTTATACTCTGAAAACTAAAAGTCATTGTTGAAAGAAATTAAAGATCTAGATAATTGCAAAAAACATCCAGGTTCATAGATATAAATACTTAACATACTTAAGATGGCAATATGCCCCAAACTGATTCGATATAATTCTCATCGGAATCTCAGATGACTTCTTTGTAGAAATTAAAAAAGCTGATTCTAGAATTAATATGGAAATACAAGGGACCCAGGATAGCCAAAACAATCTTGAAAAAGAACAAAGTAGGATGACTCATGCTTCCTGGTTTTAAAAGGTACAATAAACCAATAGTAATTTAGATAGTGTGGTAGCACAAGAATAGATATACAAACTAACGAAATACATTTGAGAGTCTAGAAATAAACCCTTACATGTATGGTCAACTGATTTCCAACAAGAGTGCTAAGACCATTCGCTGGAAGAAAGAACAGGCTGGCCACTCAGCAAACAGTGTGGGAACAACTAGGTATCTCCATGCTAAAGAATGAAATTGGAACCTTACCTCACACTGCATACAAGAATGAACTTAAAATGGATACACCCAAAGATAAGAGCTAAAACTATAAAAGTCTTGGGAGAAACATAGGGGTAATCTTCACGACCTTGGATTTGATGAAGAGCTGTTAGACACCAAAGAATAAGCAACAAAGGAAAAAACAGATACATTAGACCATCAAATTTTGGGCTTCAAAGAACATTATCAAGAAAATGAAAAGACAGTGCACAGAATTGGAGGAAATACTTTGAAATAATACATCTGATAAGGGACTAGAATACAGAATATATAAGGAACTCTCACTATTCATTAAAAACAAATAATCCAATTAAAAAATGGACAACGGATCTCAATAAACATTTCCCCCAGGAAGATAAACAAATGGTCAATAAGCACACGGAAAAATGCTCAACATTATTAGTCATCCAAGAAATGTAAGTCAAAACCACAGTTAGGTATCATTTCACACGCACTAGGATGGCTAGAATCAAAAAGATAGATAATGACAAGCGTTTAGGATGTGGAGAAATTGAAACCTTATCCATTGCTGATGGGATGTAGAATGATATAGCCATTTTGGGAAACGGTCCAACAGTTCCTCAAATGATTAAGCACAGAGTTACCACCAACCCCAACAATTTCACTCCTATATATAACCCAGGAGAAACAAAAATATACATCCACACAAAAACTCATCCATGAATGTTTATAGTAGTATTATTCATAACAGTCCAAAGGTGGAAACAACCCAAATGTCCATCAACTAACAAATGAATAAATAAAATATGGCATATCCACACAATGAAATATTATCAGGCCTTAAAAAAGAATGAAGTACTAATACATGCCATAACACGGATGAACCCTGTAAACATGCTGAATGAAAAGAAGCCAGTTACAAAAGACCACATATTATTTGACTCCACAAATAAGAAATGTCCAGAATCGAGAAATTTATAGAGACAGAAAGTAGATTAGTGGTGGGAAGAGTAAATGAGGAGATAGGGAGATGAGCGCTAAAGGGTAAGAGGTTTCACTTTGAGATGATTAAAATACTCTAGAATGAACTGTGGTGGCAGTTTGCACCCATGTGTGAACACACTAAAAACCACTGAGTTGTTCACGTTAAATGAGTGAATTGTATGGTATGTGAATTATATCTTAATAAAGCTGTTAAAAAACTTAAATGTCTAACTATTTTTGAACATTGCTTATCTTTATAGTATTTATTTACATCAAAAACTTTGCTATTTTGCAAATAGAAAAGGATGTGTAAAGCTTTATGAATTCTTCCAATTATACTAGTAATTTCCTATATATTAATGAAATAGTTGGAAAACCTGAGGACCTTAATACCCATCTGGTCAATACTCTAAAATAAATTTCAATTCTCAAATGAATTTTCCTCTATAAACTGCTACTTTTTTTCTGATGCCAAAGTCCTTAAATGTTATAGTTAAAATAAAAAAATATCCCACCCCAATATCTTCAGCAAAACTGTGTTATTTTACACACCGACTTGAGCTGGCTATTTTCATCTTTCAGTTTCACAACATGCTTGATTTTTTGCTTTAGATTCTGATGACCCAATAATTTAGCATATGAATCTCTTAGTTTATTTAGCTGTTCCTGAGCTGCACCATGTTCATTCAACAAAGCTTGTTTCTCTGCTTCAAATGCATCCAGTTGTAGCTGAAAAATATTTTTTTATATAAAGTTAAAACTTGAAAATGTTAAATATATAAAACTATAAAGAAAACAAAAGTAAAAAGAAACTAAAAAATAAAAATAATATATGCTGACATATTCTCAGAGCTCTCTGTAAATTCTCTGTAAGACTCTTTTAAAAAACCTTTGTTTTTCATCTCACAGACCATAAAAACAGGGAAAGAAACGAAGGCCAGCTAGTCAGCCAAATCTGTTATCAGTTGGATCACATCATAACCAATACTGTCCTCCTACTCTTTAAGTCCCAAGATTAACATTTATCCTTTTTCTTTTAAGATCAGTATATTAATCTGATACACTGAGAAAGATCATAACAATATAACAAATTTGAACAGATTAATTATCAAAAGAGCCTTCTAAGCTATTAACTTTAAGTCTCTTATTAGAAGGTATGTTTCGCCTATAAAGGCTATATTAAAAATGCATGCATAATAATTAAATAAAATTTCTAAGCCCTCTTTAATAGGAAGTTAAATTGGCACTGTGAATGCACAGCAAAATGCTTTCACAGGAAAATCAAGTCACTGTCATAACTGTGATGCAGAACAAAGTAAATTCCTAAAAGAAACACAAGAGGGTTTAGTCCTAATTGACAAACCTGAAAAGGTTTTGTTTTATTATACAGTTCTTCATAAAGGAGATGCCACTTATTCATTTCCTCAGTTAATTCTGCCACTGAATTTTCTTTTCCAGCTTTTCTGTAAAGAAAAAATTAAATTAAAAGAGTGTATTAGAAAAAAATGACTGCAGTACATGGCACTCAGGTTCAAAACCTAGATTACCTTGCTTCTTCCTCTTCCAGCTGCTTCTTGAAGTCTTCACCTTGTTGCTTGAGTTGGTTCTCCAAATCAGTTATTTTTTTAAGAGAAGAAACTGTGATTTCTTTAATTTCTGCTTCCTTAAGTGCTGATTTGGTCTGCAGATCTAGAAGCATCCTTGAGTTTGAGAGAAGGGTCTACTAAATATTTTACTGTTATTTTAATTACTTTTTTCTCCCTTCCTCCCTTCCTCCCTTCCTTCCTTCCTTCTTTCCTCCCTCCCTCCGTCCTTCTTTCCTTCTTTCCTTCCTTCTTTCTTAACCTAAGGACTTCTTTGATTGTACTCTTTTAAGTGAGTAAATTCTAAATTTGCAATTTAAGATCATCCAAAGCAAGCCAGTGACCTACAATTCTCTATGTATCACTTAGTAGCTAGCTATCCCTGTGTATCACTTAGAAGCTGGCTTTCAATAACATTGAAAATCACTGTGATTGTAAGGCCATGAGTATGCGAAGATTTTCTTTCCACTACATACCTTGCATATTCTTGATTTGAGCTCTCAGTTGCCAATATTTGATGCTGAATATCTTCTGCACTTTTCTCAGCCTCAGTCACTTTTTCCTTAAGCGATGTGTTCTCCAGCTTAAGGTCTTCTATTTCACTAGCTGATAATGCTTTATAGCTTATTAAAAAGAAAAAAAAAAGTTAAAGAATTTTTTAACTATTGTACACATGACAAATACATGGCTGATAAATTCATATTTTATAAACTCAGGTAAAACAAACAAAAGCTTAGTATCTATTTATGCATTTATACAGGTAAGAATTCAGTGTTCTGAGGTCAGTACTAATGAACTTATATGGCATATGCTGCTCACTCAAAGAAAAAAAATCAAGTACCTACTATGTGTATAAAGTATACATGCAGAGATGAAAAAAAAAAAACAACTACCAAACATAAAAATTTTCCAAAACAAAAAATTCAACAATTTCCGAACTTACTGTCAGAGTTTATGGTGTGAGTGGAAAATAGGGAGATGCCTCTCTGGGTTTTTATTAAAAAAAACAAAAACAAAAAAAACCCTGGAAAATAAGTATATAATTAAAACTAATAGAACAGGGGACCCTACATTTTGGTTGGGTCTCCTGTTCTATTAGCTTTAATTATATATACTTATAATTAAGTATATAAGGCCTTTCTGAAGAATTCATAGTTAAAAGCTGAGACATGATAAGGAGGATTTAGCTAGGCAGTTAGAGGAAAGTACTTCAGAGGGAAAAGATGCACACAGGCTCAGATGGAGGTAGCGCACAGTGCATTAAGAGATGAGACTGGAGCCTAATGAACAAAGAAGCAGGAGCAGAAGCTAGAGAGGCTGGAGGACAGTATTCGCCTTAGAGCACAAAGGGTTTACTTGGGGTCTCTAAGTTACTGTGTGGTTACTCCAGAGATCTGTAGAGAATGGATTGGGGAAGCGGCAGGGGTGCAATATTAGAAGATGAACTACAAGACAATTATTTATCAGTCCAGGTGAGTAATAAAGTAGGCTTAGACTAAGGAGGTGGCCATGGAAAGATATGAGATATTTTTGGAGACAGAACTTTAAAATTCCTGAAATGAATTAGATGTTGGAAAAAAAGGAGGAAAAAATGATCAAAGTTGACTCTAATATTTATGGAATGAGAAGCTAGGAAGATGCTGCTGACTGAGATAAAGAATAAGAGACTAGAAGTAGGAAGAGATAGAAGGAAGATCAAGAGTTGTTTAGACAAGTTAATATTAGATGATAGTGAGATATATACTTGATGTCAGGTAGGCAGTCGGATATAAGTACAAGAGCTGTAAAGAGAGGTGTAGTTTAAAGAAATAAATTTTAATGCTCTTAGCATACTGATGGTGAGTGAAGTCATAGAATGGCTAAAAACCTCCTAAGGCACTATTTTTCAAAGTGGCGAAAAGGAGAATCCTTTTACAGGGTTGAAACGAGAACTAAAAATTTTATATATGTACACACAAATATATACATATATATTTATATACTCCGACATAAAATTATAATTAAATATCTACATACAAATATTTTATGTGAATATATACATGACCTATAGGTTGTAATATATCACATGCAGGAACAGATCAGTAGGGAAGGAAGGTACTATCCAATGAATAGACACTAGGCAATTAATTATCCATATGGAAAAACGAAAATAAATTTGATCCCTATGTCACTATGCACAGATACAAATCAGTTTCAGGTGAAAAAGTGAAAAGTAAAACTTTGAAACTTTTAGAAGAGAAATAGGTGAATGTCTTTATGTTCTTGGGACAGAGTTTTTAAATGAGATGCAACAGTGTTCACATAATCTATAAATTTAACCACATTAAAATAAAAGGTATACTATTATATATCTAAATACCTATTTATGGTTGGTCGTTATGGAATTTAGAGTGATATCAGTAATTTTATTTGCATGATTGATTTGTTCATAATTTTCGCTAGTTAGCGAAATTTTCCCCTCCCTGTTCTCACTATGCTTGAGGGTGCAGTCTCCCGATAAAAATACCTTTCAAACTGAGCAGTAACTTCTCCAAGGTTTTGCACCATACTATTACACCTTTCCTGCAAAAGCAGGGTGGCCTGAGAGTGAGTAGCATTACTTTTCTCCAGTTCAGCTTCTTTCCTTAAAAAAAAAAAAAAAAAATTAATTTTCAAAAAGGAACAACTAAAATATAAAACTGCTAACTATAAATCATCACCTTAAGAAAGAGATTATTATTTACCTTTGACACTGGGTGTCAAAAGTGAATCCCAAATTTTCATGTATACAATAGCAACTGGATAGTTTAGATCCATAATTATGGCCTACATCTAATATCATGTTTATTTATGTGTGGCTTCATCTGATCTTTCTTTGCTCTTATTTTACTTTTGTTTTCATCTTTATTTACTTGTTTCTAAATTTCTCTTTTCTTATCATATGTATTTATGTAGGTACTTTAAACCTTTTTTGGAAGAAAGGGTGAAAAGACTCAAACAGAATCTTAGAAGCAGCAGCCAAGACTAAGGAATGTGAAAGATTACCAGTTAAAATATTCTTGGACCAAATGAAATTTAATTTTCTGCATGTAGACACTGAAGAAATACTAAGCACAGTTAAGAACACTTCATTTTAAAAGTCCTTTTGAAAAAAGTTACAGGAATATGTAGATTTACTTTGATTATATCAATAACCCACATAATAGATTTTTATTCAAAGACTGAACAACTTATTTAGTAGATTATTTTGTATAGACAGGATGGCTTTTAAGTCATCTTTACAAATATATACTACAAATCTCAGAGATTTTAAAAAAATAGTAGTATATATCATCTAAATGGTGATATAACATTTTAGATAAGCACATGAGCCTATGAGATTTTTTAAAAACATCTGAAACTAAAAACTATAAATAAGAAGCATTATTCACTTACAGAATAAGTTTGACACTGGGACAAGATAAACAACTGGTCAAATTCATTCTGTAATGAGTATGGGATTTAAAAAATAAACACACCGTAGCTAAAAGCAATCACTTAGTACTAAAAGATTTATAATATTCTCTTGCCTGCCCCCTAGAGGAATCACTTTCAACTCTCAGTTTTTCTCTTAAGCCTAAAATTTCCATACTGGAAGAGACCATAGAAACCATCTCATAAAACTCCTTTATATCTAATGAAACAGAAAATTAAATTGCTTAAGACGGTCTTGCTCAAAATCACATAACTAGTTAACAGACCTGGTAGTAAAATCCTTACCTCTTGACCTCTGGACCCAGTTCTTTGAGTTAGAATAAATGAATTTCAACTATTTTTTTTTGAAACTGACATCTACTCATCTTCTCACAGCCTATTCCCTGAGACTGGCTGCAATATAGAACAACCCCCCTTACATCTGGTACTTCTACTCAAAAAGCAGGCATAAATAAAACCTTGGTAATCTTTTTATTTATTTATTTTTAATCACTAATCACTAAAAGAAAAAAGAAAAGAGATTAATAACAAAAGTATCTGACAAGAGATAAAAATACAGTTGTGAGACATATCTCACATCTAGACCATGGTTCCTTGCTAGAAATTTTTTTTAGTAATAAAATCTCAAGGATTCAAATAATTATTTTATTTGTAATTTGAACCCAATAGTCAACCTAGATATTTAAACTTAAGTAAATGTAGTGGAGGACACATGTGATAAAAAGAATATGAAACTCAAGTTAAAAAAAAAGGATAAGATCTCAGTCTTTCTACTTTTAACGATAGTTATTTTTAATGTTTCTCAGTTGTTTTTTTCTCATTTTGCTTTTTCATTGTTACTTCTGAAGTATTTGTGCTCCCCCCAAAAATGTGATTAAAGGCATATACTACATAAACTGATGTACATATAGTCAAAAATGGAAATATTTTTTATTAAAGGATGGGATTCTTAGTTTTATTGGATTTTTTAAAATTCTGTTATTGCTGTAAAGCTAATGTCCAATAATTTCTAGAAAACATAAGAGTAGTCACAGAAACCCAAAATTTTTGGCATTTTTAAATTAAAACTTTTTCATTAAACTTTGGTCTTAAAGAAACGGCATGGTTTCTGACTTTGGCTGTCATACTTTTTTGTGTGTATATGCTATGCATGTGCTTTCCCTCTATGTATTTATTTCTTACTTGTAAAATAATTCCAACCTCACCCACTTGCATGATTGATAAGAGAATCCTGAGAGAATGTACTAGAAAATACTTCGTAAAATATGAAGTCAAATGTTAATATGAGGTCCTATTAATACAAACTCTTTTAGCTTTTCTTCTAGAAGTTTCAGTTCTTCAGCTCTAGCTTTCGTTTCCTCTTCCAGTTGCTTGACCAGCTTTTCAGCCTGTTCCTCCTTTTCTTGTAATTTATCTAGCTCATGCAGAGCTTGCTTTAATTCTTCCTCAAAGAGATTCCTCTCTTTAATCATTGCCTCTTGAAAAGAACAGAGCTTCTGCTGAAGACTAGAAGATAATTCCTATATCCAAATATAAAACCATATAGTCAGAAATGGAAATATTTTCTATTAAAGGATGGGATTCTTAGTTTTCAAAAGTTTTTTATAACTTAATAATTTGTGAGGTTTTATTAAAGACAGAAAAGAAAAACAGATAAAAAAAGAAATACAGATAATGAAGTATGAACACTAAATTCAATAACCTCAAGAAAATTTGAAAAAATATAAAAATATAAAGATATATACATATTTTTATTGAGATCATATCCTATACCTTGTTATCATTGTGGTAAACATTATTTCAATCTTTTTTCTATGCAACACACATACACAAAAACACACGTCTTATAAAACTAAAATCATATTCTACAACTGGTTTTTATAACATATTTTTTATCATATATTTTATAAAACACACGTCTTATAAAACTAAAATCATATTCTACAACTGGTTTTTACATATATTTATACAATATATAAAAAGAACTATGATTCCAATGTTATATAAACTATTTTAAAGTTAGATGAGTAAATACCAATGAATAAAGTTAATTACCATTGTAAAAAAAACTCTAACATTATAAAGTGAAAATTGCCTTTGACGATACCATATCCCAATCTTAATTTTCCCATTCCAGAGATATACACACACATATATATATATATGTATATATATAATTTATACACACACACACACACACATATACATGTATATCCTTTATCTTTTCTTGTACATATGTATTTTTTAATATAATATATACTGTGTATGTAAAGGTCATTAAAAAATCATAAAAATAGTTTTTGAGATCTTTTCAAGTCAGTATATATAGATCTAATTAATTCCTTTACTCGTCACTGGTTGCTCAACAATATAATATTTCACGTCAATGCATGTGAGTACCTGCTTTCCCAACTCTCAACAACGGTTTTTCACCAAATGTTTAAATCTGTGCCAATCTTATAAGTGGAAAAAAAAGCATTTCTATTTCTTTGTTTACTACTAAGGTAGAGCATCCATTAATGTTTATGGGCCATCTAAATTTCTACTTTTAAAATTTTCTATTTCCATCCTATGTTCATTTTTTTTTTTTACTACACTGACTTTTTTCTCATTGATATGTAAAATGTTCTTTATGTAACCTGGACTTTAAAAATTTGTCAGTTTTGTTTCTCATGTACTGAGACTCTCTTATACAACAGAATTGTAAATGCTTATGTAGTAATCTAAAATAAGAATGAGCTGGGAAAGGTTTTTAAACAATTTCCTTATTTTGCCTCCTCCATTCTTTGTAATTTTTTCACATTACTAATAACCCTGTGGTGAACATCATTGTAGATAAATCTGCAGCACAGCCACGATTATTTCCTCAGGATAAGATTCTAAAAATAGAACTGTTGGATGAAAAGATTTATACAATTTAAAGGTTTTCTGATCAAGGAGACATGTATGATAAAAACAAGCACTAGTTTTATTTGATATTGTAGTGAACTACCTTCTCTTGCTGCAGAAATAAATCAATCTGCAACTCTTTTTGTTGCAGCTTTTCGTGTTCTTGTTTTTCAAGAATAAACTTTTGCTTTAAGTTTTGCATTTCAGAATTTAGATTTTCTTCCCGTTCTCTACCTCTGTTGATGAGATCTTCTATAAAAAGGAAACATTAATTATGCTATAATTAGGTACTAATATTAACTTTGAAAAACTCATAATCCCATAATATTTCATTATAGATACGACTTTCAGCATGTTAACAAAGACCAAGTATTTTCAAAAGGGGAAAAAGAAAACTCTGAAGTTTGTATCATTACTATCTATGTCATATAATAAACATCCCAAACCAACTTCCATGTTTCCACCAATTTTAAATGGCCACCAAATGGGGAAGTTAAGAACTGCACAACTGTACATATTTTAATCAAGACAAGCAATATATTGAAATAAACAGGGAATGAACATTATAAAAGACAATAATTCTCCCATATAAAACAGAATTACGTTTGCTGTAGTTTATATAATTATTTTAAAACGTTATTTTAACATAGCTGTGCTTTTCTTAAATATTGTACGTAGTACTCATCTAAAGAAAGTAATACTATAAACACGAGAATACCTTTTTCTTTTTCAAGCAGGTGACATTTAGCAGTCAGGTCTTCTACTTGTTTAGACAATATAACATTTTCTTCAAGAGATTGCTTAAGGCTTAAAACTTCGTGATTCTTCTCTTTCAAATTTTCTTCTAACTGGGCAATATCTAGCTTGTATTTTTCCACTTGATCTGCTGTACAACTGCATTAAAACAAATTATTATGAAGAGCACATCTATTTAAGCATAGGGAAAATTAACTGAAAAGAGATGAAAATGATGTGTTCATATTTATCGCACTTCAACAAAACAAGGTCCAATTTCAAACTACTATTCATGTTACCTTATTTCTTCGATGTATTCTAAGAGTTTTTCTGTTTCGGATTTTTCATCAATCTTTTCTTTCTCTATCGAAACACTAAAAAAAAGTTACATATATTAATGCACACAATAATCACACATAACACTTACTCTGTACCAGATACTGTTGTTTCAGGCAGGCTAACTTGAGTACAAACTCTTAACCAGTCATTTATGTGACCTCTTAAGTTAACAATTTCATATATGCAAATAAGAGAGACTCAAGTTTTTTTTTTTAAGTGAGAAAACTTTCCAAATATATTGATAAAAGGACTATGATGATGAGAGTCATTATCAACAACACTCCAAGTGTTAGAAATGATCTTTTTTTTTTTGGCTTTCCCGGGTTCCCCGCCAATGACATATACAAAATAGCATTTTGTATGCCATAAAGCCTTTGTTTCAGGCTTCCTCATATTCAGTTACTTATGTGCTTACCTCCTCCAAACACCTTGATTTAAGAAATGGGCAAGAGATTTAAATACACACTTTACAAAAGGATATATAGGAATGGTTAATAAGCACATACAAATATGCTCAACACTAATAGCAATACATTAAATTCACAAATGCGATACTACTTCTCACCTACTAGAAGGGCTGAAATCACACTGACAACATTAAATATTGGTGAGGATGCGGAACAACTGGAACTATCATACACTGCTAAGAAGGTAGGGAAAATGGCACATCCATTTTGAGTTCTTGAAAATGTTATGCACATACTACCCTATGACCCAGGAATTCCACTCCTAGATATTTACTCAAGAGAAATAAAAACATATGTCTAAAAAAGGCATACACAGCAGTCTTATTCATAATAGTTTGAAATTAGAAACCCAAATATTGATCAACAGGAGAACAGTAAACAAATGAGGTACATTCATATACTGAAATGCTACTCAGAAATTAAAAGGAATGAATTATGATGCACACAACAGTACGAATGAATCTCAAAAAATTATATTCAACAAATTAAAAGGAATGAATTATGATGCACACAACAGTATGAATGAATCTCAAAAAAATTATGTTCAACAAAAGAAGCCACACACACACACATACACACACACACACACACACAACATGTGCGTGTGCACACACATGCATACACACACCACGCACACGCCACACACATACACACACACACACACACACAAACATGTGCGTATGCACACACACATCACGTACACACAAATGCCATGATAAATGTCCCACAAAAAGCCAGACGAATTTATGATGAGGGAAGTCAAAAAGTGGTTTCAGGATGAGAGCCACTGCAAGTGGAAGAGCAGGAAGAGGCACAAAGGAACTTTCTGAGGGGAAAGCAATGTTCTTTATCATGTTTGGGTGGTGGTTAATTAGGTATATACGATTATCAGAAGTCATCAGACTGAATACTTGTGATCTGTGCATTTTATTGCATGCAAATTACAGCTCAGTAATTAAAGGCTAGGATTGTGCATTAACCGCAACCTCCTATACCAGTGTTTCTCAGTTTTGGTCAGTTCTACCACCTCCATAAGCCTATACTATTAGAAAGATTATGAGGCCTTTCCTCATCACTGATACAGAAGATGTACAAAAGTAATAACATTCATACGTCTTTTCAGCATAAGATATTTGGGAATGATTAAGTCTCAATTGTCACTTCTGAAAAGAAATAGGGCAATTAGAGGAAGGCAATGAGATAAGTACTGAGGAAAGGTTAAAGTCTCAACAGACAGCAGCGAGGTGTGAGAGGTACATCAAGAACTGGTGACACGTAACACTATCTCCTTCCTTTCAGTCACTCACAGTTTCCCCTCAAGTTGTGCTATTTTCCCCTGAGACTCTTCCAGATTCTTCTGGGTGACCTGCAGTTTCACCTCCACGCCTTGCTGTTTAGCCATCACACTCTACACACAACAGAAATATGTTTTAGGAAATAAAAAATTGTTCAAATCCACAGATCCAGACACAGCAAACTAGCAAAGGTATCACTCACCCTCATTTTAGTTTCCCTTTTGTTTCTAAGTTTCATCAACTCGAGGCTCAGAATTCTCATATTCTTCTGGTTACCATCTTCAGAAAACTAAGTACAACGAACACGTAAAAGATTCAGAAATATTTTCTAAGTCATATATAAAAATCACTTAAATGTTGGTCATTCTACCAATTGTGGGGACTATTATTTGCCTATTATTCCTCTGGTAGAGAAAACGGCCTTTGAACAATGCCAGGATTACTGATTTCATACTAGTATCGTTCTCGTCCCTCCTTTTTCTTAATGTGACTTTCTGGTTTATTTTCGAAAGTAGCTTGGGTGGTCACTTACCTCTATATGCTAGAAAGTACATCTCCAGGCTCTAAAACAAGCTTCTTAGAAAAGATTTCGTAAAGGGTGTTTACTTAACAAAATGCATCTGAATTCCCTGGTCTGTGAAATATACAGACTACAGGGTTCATCCCAGGCCAGTGAAATCAGATTTTCCAGGGCTGGGCCCAGGAATCTACTCCATTCCTCATGCTTGAATCTCATGCACTCTAACTCCCTTTGTAAGCAAAGAGCCCAACACATTAACAGGAAGTGAATAAATGACTCTTATTAAACTGAACAGTGACTTACAGCCTCCTTCTACTTCTGTAAAAAGCAAGATGACCATATTGTCCTTTGATATCTATTAGTATATTAATATTGACAAACACAATTTATTGAACACATTTCTTCTTCAAAGTTATTCATTCCCCACTTCATTCCCAAAAAGATTTGAAATGAGAAGCTGATATTATGCTATTATTTATTTCAGAGAAAGATCTTTAAAGTGACTTCTAGATGTAAATTCTGCAGCTTTCATTAATGGCCTTATTATGGGGTTACTTTAAAGGAGGGTGAAAAAATGTCAGACGTTAAAACAAAAAACAACTTATTTGTTTATAAGTTCTTATGTATCAGGCACCATAGTAAGAAAGATACAATAATAATTCCTGTTGAAAGCAGCTTAATATTTAAGGTATATTTAGTAAAGGAAAAAAACTAAACCAAAGTCTAAAATTCCCAAACAACTAGTATAAGAGAAAAAAAACCACGTTTATTATTTATTCAATTATAAGGTTATTATGAGGTTCAAATACCTTAGATTTTAGTAGCTCATTGGTCCTAGATAGTTCGGTAAGCTGTTTTTCCAGTGTCGTGTTACTTGCAGAGAGAGACGTTTTTTCTCTCACAGCAGCGCTTAGCTTTGCTTCCACCTTTTCCAACTCAGCTTCCAGATCCTGTATCCGCTTGTCCTGAGCACCACGTTCCTGTACAAGGGCACGAATCTGGAGGATGGAAACGATGTGATAAATGAATGATTCACTGATACAATGCCAAAGTAACTAGCTGCTACTGATAATTGAAACATTGAAGTCCTTGAAAAATCTGATAGTGACATGATGCTCTTAGATATTCTAATTTCACTAGCTGTTTAATCAATCATATTTACTTTATGATACATCTTAAAAATCTGTAAGCATTTTAAGAATGAGGGATTTTAATTGCCATAAACTATTCAGTGTAATTAAACTTTTAAATCACTTTTAAGGTATTTCTACCTATAAGAGCTCTCATTTTCTCTAGTTCTAATTATATGAAATCAAATTACAGCTTAAAATGCTAAATATCTTTAAGAAGGTAGAATTAGAATTCTTGGTAGGAGGCTGTGGGCATCAGCAAGCCATCATTTCTGCTGCAATTACTAGATAAAAACAAAACCACATATTTGTCAACAGAAAATGTGGAAGCCAGAACACAATGAAATAACATGTTTAAAATGTAGAGGGGAGGGTAAAGGGGATCAAATATATGGTAGCTGAAGGGAACTGGACTTCGGGTGGTGAACACACAATAGAATATACAGATGTCAAATGATAATATACACCTGAAAATTATATGATTGTATTAACCAATGTTACTCCAATAAACTTAATAAATAATAATAATAATAAAATAAAATGTAGGAGGAAAACCTGTCAATATAAATTTCTATTCTCAATAAAAATATACTTCAAATATGAAGGTGACATACAAATGGTTTTGGAGAAGAAAAAATGCTGAGAGTATTTAGCAATAGTAGGCCTGTGCAACAAGAAACACTAGAGGAAGTTTTCAGGCTGAAGGAGAATGACCCCAGATGTTTACAGGATAGGCACTTTAAATATAAGGACATAGATAGATTGGCAATAAAGGGATCAAAGAGGAATTATTATGTAAATATTCAACAAAAGAACGCTGGTATGGCTATTTTAATGTCATATAAAGTACACTTTAAGGCAAAAAGTATTACTAGTGACAAAGAGGCAATTTTATTGTAAAAAGGTCATTTCGAGAGGAAGACATATTCTTAAATTTGTTGTTCACTTAATGTCATAACTTCAAAATATACAAAGAAAAAACTAATAGAATTAAAAAGAGAAATAGACTAATCCACAGTGTTGGAAATTTAAAAGTACCTCTCTCATTAAATAATAAGCAGAAATAAGTATCAGTACAGATAAAGATTTAAACAAAACTATTTAATCGACCTAAACTACTTGACATATACATATCACTATACCCAACGAGTGCGTATACATTTTTTTCGGTGCACATAAAACATTTACCAAAATAGACTGTTTGCTGGGTATAAAAGTTAAAGAGAGCATAGCTGTATTAAGTAACATGAAAAGTAATTTTTTTTACTCGTACTGACTTTATATTCATATAATCTCAGTATTTTAAGCCAACATTGCTTAATTAAAAATGTATCAAGCCCCACTTACAAATACAGTCATGACCTAGACACTAGAGAACAAACGAGCTTAAAGAATCCCTACCATAAGATTCTCTATGCTTATATTACTGTTATAACCACTGTTTATAGAATAGTTTTATATGGTAGAAAAAAAAAGACACTGAAATTATCTATATCACACTTTTTGTAGCTAAAGAAGCTTAAGTTCCATAAAAAGTGTTTATATACTCAAATACCTACACGGCCAAGTAGATAATATAGATAAGCAAAGAAGGCCAGGTGAAGACTGGAGAGCGAATGTGGCATCTAAAGGAGGCAGCCCTGCATAGCCCTGGCGGAGTTTTACCGTGGAGAGGAATGTGGAAGCAGTGTTGTCAGATCCAATTTTACAACAGAAGTCAAAAATCTGAATTTGTTTTTTACTTATAAATACTGATAAATAATTTGAGTTAAAAATAAACAAACAACAAATATTGTTGCACTTAAATAAATAAAATAGAGCTCTATTTTTTTCAAAAATCTCTATTCTAAAAGATTAATTAACTGATGCAAATCACCAGTTCCAATCTTGGCACTGCTACTCACCAGCTCTCTACCTGAGATTCACTTATTATGTCTCTAAGTATTAATCTCTATATCATAGGCATGTATCCTCAATAAAATGATAGCCAATATTATTTTAAAAAATCCAAAATGATCAGAGCAATCAAGGCAGAGATTTACAATGTAACCTTGACATATACTTGGTCCTAAGGCAATATTTAACTGTGATCAATAGAAAGTTTTAATATATCAAAAGAATATGTCCACAGGAGAGTCAGTAATAAAACGTGGAAAAGAAGATTGCCAGAAAAGCAAAGCTGGCAGTGACCAGCTTAGCCCTGCTTAGGGAAGTAAGTGGGTTTTTTAGGTCAGCTCTGCTCAATAAAGATTTTTGCCATGGTGGAAATGTCCTGTCCAAAATGATAGCCTCTCGCCACATGTGGCTACTGAGCACCTGAACTATGATTAGTGCAAGTGAAGAACTGAGTTCTTAAATTTATTTAATTACAATAGCCACATATAGCGAGTAGCTCTAGGTCATTCTATCCTTGAGGAAGGCATATAGTGATGGTGCAGAGGAATGCATCAGGTTAGTATAACTCCATCACAATCCAACTAACCTGATAGGATTTCATGCTTACTAAGCAATTATCTAGATAGTCACTGTTTTAATGTATAGAGTACCAGAAAAGTAAATGTAAATACTTTGTCTACACACAATATTAGTAAACCAGAAAACTGATTTTTAGTTATCATTTTTTTCATTAAGTAGGTTATCTTGAATCTGTCCCTTAGGATGCTAACAACTTGACTTTGCCAACACACCACACGGACGACCAGGCTCTGAAATATGGTATTCAAGCCGAGGAAAAATTACACTGTAGGCACTGGTCTGGATGGCATATTTGCCTTACTGTGTGCCTCTGCAAATGCAACAGAATCTCTGTCTCTTAACTCTCTGTAATTCCATTATACAGCACATTTATTTTTCAGTAAGTTGAAAGCATTGCTCACCTCTTTTTCTAGTATCTTCAAATCTTTATCATTCTTTTGAGATTCCTTCTGTTTAAAAGTTAAAGAACAGTGATAATCAAATTTAAGTGGCACAAATATCATAGCCAAATTTGATTTTTAGTTATTAGAAAAGATTAGGGGTTCCAAACAGTTAATTTCTATTGTAAACATTTCCCTGAGTCATTAAACATTTTGTAGCTGACTTATCTGGTAAATTAAAGAAAGGTTCTTTAAATCTCAAAATATTTCAGGTTTAAGTTCATCCTAATAGAGTAGGATTTTTTCTAACAAGTCCATTGAAAAGAACGGGTGGCATTTTGTGAATAGTTATTTTATGAATAAAGTTACAGCTTCTTTTTAATGTTAAAATGCAATACGTTTTAAATATTTAATTATACTATCTCAGAAAGAAAAGAATCTTACAAAGAGAAATCAACAAACTTAGATACCCAGAGAGAGGGGGAAAAAAATGCAAAAAATAAAAACTGAAATAGTACAAGCTCTGATTCTAATCTACTCATTGCCTTTATTCTAAATAAGACACAGTTTTCACACTACATCTTTTTATATCCAACAGCTTTTTTGAGACAATGACCAAAAACAGAATTTCTATTTTTTCCGTCTAAAAACAGAAGAAAATGCATAAACATCTTGAATGAAATCTGTTTTACATGTTTCAGAGTTGGAGTGGGGAGACATATCAGTCTCATGGTTGTTAATTTACCACCTAATGATATTTTCTATCAAGGAAAGGCTGTTATTTGGGGGTTTTACACAAACATCACACTTGTGTGTAATTTAGTTATCTAAGAAGGCTTGCAAATTTTATAATTCACAAATTCAGAACTGTTTCTCCAAGAAATTTGTCAAGAAATTGAGATCACTTTCTAAGAAAAGAGTGTCTATACATCAGTGCAACCAATAAAAATATAATGCAAACCATATGTTTTCAAATGTTTCAGTAGCCATACTTAAGAAGTAAATATTTTAATAATATCTTTTACTTAACCCAAAATATCAAAAATATTATTTCAACATGAAATTAATATAGAATTATTAGTGAGATATTTTATATTTTTTGTTCCAAGTCTTCAAAATTTGCTGTGTATTTTACACTCATAGCACATCTCAATTCAGATGCTACATTTTCATCAGAAATACCTATCCATATTTAGATTTTATAAAAAATACAGTTGAAAAAGTAGATTCGCATATCCAAGTTGTTCTGAAAACATTTAAGAGTTTTCCAACAACAGAATCAAGTATTAGTTTTAAATCTACATTAATTAAAATTAAATAACATTAACAATTTAGTTCTTTACTTTCAAGTGTTCAATAGCCACATGTGGCTGGCTAATCACTTCCTTATTGGACTACACAGCTCTACATTACAGAACAAGAGACTTAGTTGCAATTGCCAAATGAATGAACAAGTCTAAGCTTAATTGATGGCTTTGGTTTCCCAACTCTGTATCTTTTTCACATTAAAATATCAATTTACACAACTTGCTTTTATGAACTAATGGAGACAGTAATAGTAGGCTCTTACACAATAGTATGAAGCTATTAAGAATTTTAATCTCCCCACCACTCCTTGGCAGTTTCTGAATGGTAAACATCTTTTAGGCATTAGAATGTTTCTCCCCTTTTTCTTTACCAGGACTATCCTTCCCCACAAACAAATAAAAATGAAACAACTCAAATGATGGTAACTAACAAATCAAAGCATTACACAATTTTTAAAGGCTTACTAGGTATAATAAGACTTATTTAGATATATAAATGACTGAGAAGTGGAGACTATTGTGTAATTCCGAATTAAGGGCATATTTAAGCACAATATGTTTATTAATGACATAGGCAGAAAGGTAAAGCTTACTAGAGTCCTAATGATAATAAGTTTCATTAATTTATAGATATCTTTATAACCTTAATTTATACACTTAACCCATTCTAGTCAAATACAATACCTTTCAGAAATATTTTTAATGATACAGTTCATAAATTTCTTATATTCACAGGTAGAATATAAGAGCTCCTCACCTTTAATCCCAAAGTCTTAACTTTTCTTGCTGAAGCAGGCAAGGTAGTATCTTTGTCAACAGTAAAATTTTGTTGAGATTCTGCAGTAAATTGAACCACAGACAAAACACAATTTCAAAATTTCTTATTGCAACTATTAGTGAAACAAGGTAAAGTTATTCTTTTCTTGATTGCACATTTTCAAATAATTAGTTGGACAATATTTTTACACATCTAGCACATTTTTGATTTTCCTATTATTCCCAGGCAGGATAAGGTAATAAATAAAGGGGAACTACATATATATATGAGTGGCTTGCTTAATTTTCCTGGCTATATTATGATCCTCATAGTGTGATGATGAAAGCATTATTCTATAGTTGATCTTTTTCTAAATCCATCAAATACAAAAAATTAAATATAGCTGTAGCTTCACATTTTTGAGATACTATGGCATCTTTTAATTTATATACTGTTATTATAACTTTACAGCTTATGAGATCATATAACCATTATTTTATTTTGAGATCCATTACCTTTTTGTTTTTTAAATCTTTGTGATTTCTGAAATACTGGTCCTTTCAATACTTCTGAAGTTTTAACGTCATAAGCACCTGGAGATGGTGCACAACCTAGAGGAAACAAAGCATTAATGTCTCATCTAATGTTACTTATGATCTTAAGTTAAAAACATGCCATAGTAAAGTGAGTAATATAAATGAAAAATTGCCATTAATAAATTGTTTCCTTGTTTTTTCAACTGTAAAAATAGCACCCATTTGATATTATAAAGTAGGCCTCTCTATGAGGAATAATATCGTTATCACTCCAAAAGCCCTTTTTTCAACTGGGTCAAAGGAACATAGGCAACTGAGCAAAACAGCGAAGACAGTCTTGGGATGAACATCATGTAAGAACGAGAAACATAGCTTTCTTACTAAAAATTGACTATAAGAAATAAAATATTTGGAATCTACTCAGAGTTACTGACGTTAACTATCATCAGACTCTACAACTGAAGCAACTAAAAATTTGTAGACTTCAAGATTTAGCCTGGAATAAAAATTTACAGTGACAATCCATCTCTGGCTAATATCAACAAATTACAAGATTTATAAAGCTATAGACTAAATTTCTATGTTCTAGAAATTTATACTGTATAATCTCTCATGTGAGTAACCGGAGACCCAAACTGAACGCATTCTGGAGTGCTCATGGATAGCAGACTTGAGATCTGGCTCCCAGGACTGACAATAATAAAAATGTCATTAGCATAAAGCTTTAGTTGATTGGGAGTCATTAAATTTATACTATTCTCTGAAAAGTTATTTACTTCGGTCCAGAATTTCATGCAAATAAATAAGAACAGCAAAGAGTATGACCATTTTAAGCCAATTCCTACTGTCCCCTAAGTATTTTCCTAAATGTTTTCCAAACTATTAGCATAGCTTGACTAGCATTAAAACAAAAGCAAAAACAAAAACAAAACAATAGAAAATATCAGTGTGACTCAAGGGTAGCAAAGTTAAACATTGTTTTGTGGTACTTTTGTTTCAGTTTATATAAATATAAAAATATATTCCACATAGAAATATACAATTCATTTCTCACCTTGGGACACAACTAAAAAGTATTAAAGTTATTGCTTTCAATTCTAAGTGGCCATAAAAACATCAAGGATGGATTTAACTTTCCATTTCTCTACCTAAAACAATCATTATTTATATATACTGACACAAAGATTCCAATCCTGGGAGCTTTCAAACCAAAATGTGGTCAATAAGGGGTAGGGATAGTGGATTTGCAATCAAGAAAGTCTTAAAATGAAGTGTAGAATTCACTGGGGAATATAAGTAAAAACAGATTAGCAAAAAGCATTAATCTTGGCTAGCTCGATTTCTCTCACCGCACAACTGTCAACACCATGGGGTGAACAGCAAGGTGACAGGGGTTTCTCTAAAATCAGGTTGAGTGGCACACTTTAGAGCACCTATTTTACTGATGTGGAATAGGTGTTGGGGAGGCAATGGGAAGCATATCATATTTTAAAGCAAACAGGAGACTTCGAAGAAAGCCACCATCACTAGTGTAGGCTATGCCTTTTGGGGGAAGTTGGGGTGAGAAGATGATTAATTTCTTTTACTCTCTGCTTTTGGGGATGATTCTCTGGAAAAGTTTGAGAACCGTTCTAGATTTGGCAAAGCAGCCAGAAAAAAAGTGATATTGAATTCTAGTATTCTAGTTCATCATTAGGTCTATACTCTCAAGAGGGGGTAAAGACCAGCAAAAGATGGAATTGTGGACAGTAACTAAGCCAAATCATGCAAGTCGAGAACAGTTAAAACCCCATAATTAAACACTCCTTCCTAAAGACTGAAGAGTCAAATTTGATAGTTTAGGTATTTAGAGTCAAGAAGAACTAGGCTGAAATCCTGCCTGTACCCCTACCATCTGTTTGCGAGACCGGGGCACATGCTGTTTTCATGCTCTAGGTCTTTTCCTTACTAACACTTAAGAGTACATTATAGATACCACTTGTTAGAAATCAGGGGAAAGGCAATGTAAGACAACAGAAATGAGATAACTTGGGAGATATCACAAGCTTTCTGGAACAACTTATATTTTGATCAACCATGATCAGCTAACCCAAGCAGTTAACATTTGTATACAAACAAAGCATTTTATGTATTACATTAAATGATTCAAACTTCGAGACACTTTTATTTTCTATTTTTCCTACCTAGAATGGATAGTCTGCCTTCCATTTTGCAAGGCTAATCCTCACTTAGCCTTTAGATCTCAGCCTGACGTCACCTCTTCCAGTTGTCTCTGAATCCCCAAATCAGGTTAGAACCTCCATGCTATAAAAGCCTGTGCATAGCTTTCATATCACAGAACTTCTCACAATTTTGTATGGCTTATAATAATGTATTTATCCACTTTCCACATTAGGCAAAACTGCTTGGAGGTAGGGATTGTTTTAATCATGACTGTATCCTCAATATTTAGCTCAAGGTTGAGGTTAGTAGGATAGTAAAAAACAAACAGACAAACAAACAAAAAAACACAGAAGGTTAAGGTTATTGGGGATGTGACAATGGGAATAGGGCTTTATAATCAGCTATACCAGAGTTCAAATACAGCTTTGTCGGCCAATCAGTAGACATGACTATATGCCAGGTACTGTGAAGCCATAGGGAGAAGATGGTGAATAAGAATATTATACTCTCTCTTTTCCTGTCTAGCTTTAAGACACCTGGAAAGTTATTTCTATTTGAGGCTGATTTTTCATTCAGGAAACAAGAATGAAAAGTAGTATCTACTTCACAATATGGATGTTAGGGTTACTGGAGTAATATGAAAAATCACCACAGTGACACACACACACACACACAGCATCAAATAAATGGTAACTGTATTATTCCTGAAATTGTGAGCCTGAAATATTGTCATTGGTAAAGCCAGTTTATTATAAAGAAAAAAAAATTCTCCTTCAAAGCCACTCTGCTGGCAGAACTTAGGAGTAGGTTCTGAATATCTGGAAAATAATAAAATAATGTGGTTCTAGAATTTTTTAATTAGGAAAATAAGCCTGTGCTGATCCAATTTCTCACTTGGCTTTCTTTGTGAGTAGAGGGGGTTCGCATTTCCATTTGCATGTTGTCTGACAGGAATTAAACATGTAATGAGTGATCATTAAATAGTGCATATTATAATCAACAAAACATGGGCTTTGTGTTCAGCTCTACCACTTACCAGCTGCTTAATACAGTTACAAAATCCCTTAGCTTCCTCTTCTGCAAAATAAGGACAATACCAGTACCTTCTTTATTTGACTTGGAAAAAATAAACCAGAACTAGTAGGAAAAACTTTAGCACAGTCCCTGCACACGGCATCTACTAAATGATGAGTGCCTTACCAACCACATCCAAGGGTTCCCAATTATTGTGCTCATGCACTGCAATGGTTAAGAGCACGGGATGAATTCATGGAGGCCTGGTTTCACACCCCAGCTTTGCCAGTTTGGTTGTGTGACACTGAGGAAATCTAAGTCACAGTCTTTTTACCAATAAAATAATGAATGAAATAATGAATAATGGGATTACCTCTTGGGGATGTTGAGGAATTTAAAAAGACCTAATAACCTATGTAAAGATGTGCTATGGTATCTGTAGTACCGTCAACATCAGCTGTCACTACTTTACAGTGTTTTCAATAAGTGCTACTGCCATAATTTTACACCCATTAACTGCCTTTGCTAATCTTCCGAATTCTCTTTTGCCCGAAACATCCAAAAATAAATCCACAAGTACAGACAGAAAACAATGGTCAAATGCTTTTTATCAATGAGGTCGTCCGTACTTGATCATTAAACTAGCTATCAATGGTTCCTCATTCTCATTCCTTCTCTCTGCTTTAGTTTCTACACGGCAGTAATTGTTTATTGGCTGTATTCTTCAACTGAACTTAAGCTCCGTGGGACAAGGACTTTGCTTTGCTCACTACTGTATCGTTACCATCCTAAATAGTGCTTGTCATGTAGTAAATGCTTAGTATTTATTTCAGAAAAAAAAAAAAAGATTCGAATGAACAAACCCCATAACAGCCCTAAATTTGCCTATTTGCCTTTGATAAAGAGAACCAAGAGGGCAAGGGACGTTAAGAGCAACTCCCGTCCCCCAGTTCCTTTCCCCATACGCACCAGAAGGGTCATTGAATCTTTTCAGGGGCGCCTTAGGAAAAGACATGCTGACGACCAACTCCGCAAACCAAAGGTCGCTAGCGTTCCTCGGAAACTTCCTGGTGCGAATTTTAGCCTACTAGCTTCAAATTCAAATCTCCTGCTCATTCCCCTCCACACTGACGTTAGCCAATGGGAAAACCAAAACCCTGGGCACACCAATCCTGGCAAGGAACCCGCAAAGAGCATGCGCACTCAGCTCTCACTGTGTCCAATTAGGTGGCCTGTGAGTTTGGGCTATCGGCCAATAGGAGACTATTACTGTCACCTCCCTCACCCTCTGTACCCAATCACTTCGGGCGTTACTCAACTGTAACCTACGCGCTAGCAGCATTTGCGCAAACGCACTTCATAGCTAAGTTTTTAAGTCCGTCTGTGGCATCATATAGGTGATGGTGCAATGAGTTCCAGCCTCACTGGTTCCAACCCTATCCCACCATTCCTTGGATGTAACCTTTTCTGGATTTCGGTTTTCTCAGCCTGGGTCTTGCCGGTGTCCTAAATGGCCGTTGGAAGGGAAAAACAAAATCACGCTGAGACAGCCGCTTGCACCCCTGCGCATGGGCAGTGTGACCCGAGGGGCGGGGCTGGGGCTGGGGCGGGGCATGATGTGGCGCTTCGGGGCTTGAGCTCAGCTTGCTACGGGCGGCTGCCACGGCAGATTCCGGCAGTATGTCGGCCCCGTTCGAGGAGCGCAGTGGGGTAGTTCCGTGCGGGACGCCGTGGGGCCAGTGGTACCAGACTTTGGAGGAGGTGTTCATTGAAGTTCAGGTGCCGCCAGGCACTCGCGCCCAGGATATCCAGTGCGGCCTGCAGAGCAGGCATGTGGCGCTGGCGGTGGGTGGCCGCGAAATCCTCAAGGTAGCGGCCGATCGGGGCGGGTGCTCAGTTTCTCCTTGTCTCCCTAAATCCCCGTGTCCTAAGGTTCATGGTTTCCGTAGAAAGACAGTTTGTTGGATGGCCGTTTGACTTTTCTGGCTGGCCGAAAGAGCCATAAAATTGGCCTGGTTTTGGTCTGGTCGGAGCCGGTCCTGAATTAACGTGGAAATTCGAGCTCATTTTCCTGGCTTTATTTCTAAAACGAATGAAGCTGCTTTTGTTCCTCTGCAGGTCTCCAGCTGAGAACAACTTAACTAGATCGTCAAAAAGACATATTTATCTTACGTATACTTTCTTCCAGGCTCTGCACTAAGTGCTGGGAGAATAGCGGAGAATGAGACGGATAAGGTTCCGGCACTCAGAGAGGTTATGTTCTTGTAGGGAGGCGTAATACCACTAAAATGAAAGATATTTAGGCAGTTATAAGAAAGTAAAGGAGAAAATAAAGAATAAAGACATTGGGATGAGGATTCATGAATGATGCCATGTGATTGTTGGACACAGCGAGATCTAAATATTAGAAAAAGTCTGCATGTTTCTGGTGAGGTTAAGTAGATAGTAAAGAAGTGTGTGAGAAAAATAATACCCCTTTTATTCTCACCAATGCTTTTTGGATCTGGGATTCATTTTGTTAAACGTTATAGTTAAAGTTGAAGTTAAATTCCTTTCTTAGATTAGATGCCCAAGATGTTTGATGGCAGTGTAGTGTAGTGGTGAAGGGAACTGCTTGGTGGAATACCTGGCTCTCCCATTTTTCTAGTTTTGTAACTTTGGGCAAGAGATTATTCAGTGTCTCTAAGCTTTCATCCAAAAAGTGCAGTAATTATAGTACCCTTTTAGGATCGTTTTGAGCATAACATGGTATCCGTGTAAATGAAGAGTTTAGAGTAGTGCCTGGTATGTAATAAGCGCGCACTCCTAGTTAGCTATTATTATTTTATATAGGAGTGCTTTGAGTGCCTTAGAGAAAAGAAAGATTCATATGAAAGACATTGATTTATTTCAACTTGGGTGTTAATGACCTTTCTGAATAGATGTGCAATTCACAGTTGCCTGAATAGTAGTTCACACTTACAATTCAAATTTACTTTAATAATTCCAATAACTTGGGAATTTAGCAGAAACTCTTAAATCTAAGAGTTTGGGTGTACATTTAGACCAGTAAGATTTGCCCCCCGCCCCCCACAAATATTGACATGAAAAAAATGGGTTTCTTTTTTTTATGTGACATTTTCATTTCATAAAACTTAAATTTGACAAGTAACAACAAATCAAAATGGATTTGAGCAGATGCATTCTCTTTTAAACTTACATTTCATTTACTTCTTAAAACAAGTTTCTGAATAATCATGCACAGCTAATCTGACATCAGGTCTACAGTATGTGCTTAATTCTTTTTTTTTAATGCCAAATCACCCAACAAATAGATTAAAAGTTTTTTAAAGTTTATTTTAAAAGACATTTTTTCTTAATTTTATCAGGAGAGCTTTTGTAATTCATTTTAATTGATAAAGCATTTCAGATATTAAATTTTATATTTGGCTCATCAGTGATCAGTAGTATTTCTTCATCTTCTAAAAATGAAGGAGCTCCGATCTTTCTTTAGAGAGCCATGTGTTCTTTCTCATAAAAACATTCTAGGCATTGTAATTGAGGTTACTTTTTACTCACTAGGAGGAAACTTGGGGTTGAGCACCTATAAATGTGTTGAAATGCTATAAAATTGTATCTCCCTATTCTAACCAAATTAGACAATCATATGTGGGTTGGATAGAAATTAAGTAAGTCTTAAATCATAAAAGCTGTATAAAAATTAATGAAATTTCTGTATTTTTAGTAACTTATATGTTTGTTTTTCAGGGAAAACTCTTTGATTCTACAATAGCTGATGAGGGAACGTGGACTTTGGGTAAGGGTAATCTATTGTAAATCTTAGAATCTTTTTAAAAAATAATTTTGTCTTAGACCTTTTCCCTGCTGTAGTAGTTCCTTTGTCTTTGCAGCTTTGGAAAAATTCAATCAATATAGACTTGCATAGAGTAATAGAAATGTTTTGAAAACAATTATATGTCAAAATTACCTACTGGTTTTTGAAAATATAAAATTTAATGATGAACTCTAATTTCTTTGTGATTGTTGTTTGTTTAGAGGACAGAAAAATGGTTCGTATTGTTCTTACAAAGACAAAGAGAGATGCAGCAAATTGTTGGACTTCTCTTCTAGAATCTGAATATGCAGCTGATCCTTGGGTGCAAGACCAAATGCAGAGAAAACTTACATTAGAAAGATTCCAAAAAGAAGTAAGTCAGATAAGTGTATGACTATATGTAGCTAAACATCTTAAAATTATAGAATAATAATCATTTGAAATTTAAACTCAAATGTGGTTATAAAAAATTACAAAAATTCTGTAGAGGACTTTTTTTAAGCTAAATGGTTAGAAAAATGGCCATTCTGTGTGTAGATTTGATTCTTTTTTTAATTTTCTTGAGAAGAATTTGTACTATAACGATTTCTAAGTTTAAATTTATTTAATGTACATCAGTAATGTATGAATAAACTCATAAAAATTCAATCAATATAGATTTACATAGTGTAAAAAAGTGAAAGGCCCTTTCATCAACATCTCTGCGTTCCATGCCTCTGTCTCATCAGCATATTGGCTTGTTTTGTTTTTAGCGTAAATGAAGAATCACACTGTGTATTGTTCATGTTACTTTTTAAATAATATGTCTTAGGTCTCTTTCTCTACTAAAACCTATAGATAAAACTCACTTATTTTAGCTTCTTTGGGGTGTTTTCTAGTTTGAATGTATTTTAATAATTTAGCTATTCCTCTTTGATAAGATTTAGATTTCTCCATTTGTGTCTACTATTTAAACCAAAGTTTGTGCTTTCATCTCTGTGAAACTATTCAGACATTTCTTTAAAATAGATATCGAGGAGAAGAATTACTGGATCAAAACACTGTTAAAGTTTTCATGGATAATTTCAATCTATGTGATGACTCCCAAATGTATATCTCTAGCCTAGACTTTTCTTCTATATTTTGGACTCACCTGTCTAGCCGCCCTTTTAATATCTCCTCTTGGCTAACAGACATATTAAACTTAGCATGTCCAACATAAACTCCCTAACATCCCTCCCTATTTGTTCTACCTCTCACCTTATCTCATTTGAAGGAAACTAGTTGTTCAGACCAAAAAAAAGTTGGGGAATCATCCTTCTTTCCTGTCTGTCTGTCTCACCCTATCCATTTTGTCAGGAAGCGTTTCTGGTACTACCTTCCAAATATATTTAGAATTTTGCCATTTAACACCAACTCCGCTACCACTCTGATGACTACCTCTAACATCGTCTAGATTACCTGTAATTCTTTTCTTCACTTCTACCGTTGTCTTTTCAAAATAGCAGTTAGCACAGTCTTCTAAAACACAAGTCAGATTACATCATTTCTCTTCTTACAACTCCTTCACTGTGGTAAAAGACAAGGTTTTTTATAAGGCTCTATCTGATCTGGTCTTTCATGGTCTCTCTGACCTCCTGTCTTATCTCTCTCAGTCATTCTGCTCTAGCCATACAGGCCTTTTTGCCATTTCTTAAACATGTCAGGCCAGTCCTTTTCTGTCCTTGACTGCAATACTCTTTTCCCAGAGCTTGGCTAATTTCTTCACTGTTTTCAAGTCATTGCTCAATGAGCATTCTTTGAACTTTGATCATCCTGTTTAAATACTGTACTGTCTTCATTTCCCTTATTTTGCCCTACTTTTCTCTTTTTTCTTTCGAACTTAGCCAACTTTTAACATATTAGCTACCAACTTTTAATACACTGGGTAAGGGGCCATGGGTCAAACTATGGCCCATGGGCCAAATCCAGCCCCCTGCCTGTTTTTGAGGTAAAGTTCTATCTACTTTAACACAGTTATGCTCATTTGTTTGTGTGTTGTCTTTCATATAGCAACAGCAGAATTGAATAGTTATGGTAGAGACTATATGGTCTTCAAATCCTAAAATATTTACCACTTGGTTCTTCACAAAAAAGTTTGCTGACTCTTGCAGAAGATAATTTAATGGTTTATCCTGAGTGAGCTCCTGATAGAATGTAAGCTTCACCAAAGTTGAGATCTTCGCTCAATCTTGAATTTTACATGCCTCTAATGATGTCTTCTAAACAGTAGGAACTCAATAAATGAAATGCCCTTCAGAAAAACTAAGACCTTGAGGTAGTGCTTACTTCATAGGATTGTTATGAAAATTTAATATACTATTACAAATGTAGAGCTTTTAGAACCCAGTCTGACATAAGGTCTCAAAAATGCTAGTGATTTTAATCACTAGCTATTGATATTAAAATATGCCTTTGCCCATAGACTTGTGCACATTATAGTACACACAGTGATCTTCTAAATATTTGTAAGTCTGAAAATTGGAAAATACTTCATAGTTTTAAGTTCCATTTTGGTGAACAGTGATGTTTGGTATCTTTTTATGTGTTTATTGGCCATTTCGAGTTCTTTTTGTGTCACTTGCCATTTTCATATTACCATTTTCTTTTTGAGTTACTTATATATTTCCTTACGTTTTATCAAAAATTTTTTGTATATCTTTTAGAATCCTGGTTTTGACTTCAGTGGAGCAGAAATCTCAGGAAACTATACTAAAGGTGGACCAGATTTCTCAAATCTTGAGAAATAACCTCTTTTTTTGCTGCATGCTATGGATCCTAGTGGATGTTGCCAGCTTGGTCAAAAGAACAGATTATGTGGTGGAGGAAAAATGTGGATGCCGACAGTTAACAGATTGCAAAATATATTTAATTATGGTTCTAAAAATTGCATTCAAATATGTTTTACATAGGACACATCTTAAATACTGTGGGGATTATTCTATTGATATATGGTAACTTAATTGAACTTGTTTTTGCTCAGCATGAAGTTTTATATGCTGCATTTTACTAATTTCATATTTAACCTGTATTTTTAATACAGAAAAAAATATTAGGGTATAAATCATGTGACTGACGGGGTGCCTTCAGGGAAAATGAAGTTTTTTTTTTTTCCCAATAAGTGTGATGCAGGAATAATGTTCAATAAACTTTTCTAAATAGGAATTGTGTACCCCTTTGTCCAAGTATACTAGTTCACACACAGAAATTATATTACTGAAAAAATTTTTTAAGAAAGGAAAAAAACAATCCACAAATACATTCTGAGTAAGTTAATTTTGAGTTAATTAAAGTTTCTGAATTAGTATATTATTTCTTGAGAGATGACTTTATGTCAAAAAATTGAAAAATAATTAAAAACCTAACAGTAGTAATGGATTTAATACAAAAGAGATTTGGTGAGGTGAATGTGGTTATTGGGTGAGTTCCATCATTAGTGACAGAAAACAAATTATGGTCAGTGATTATAAGTAAAGAACAGTCATTTTGATCTTCAGTGATCCAGACATATAGGTAAGAAATTTTACTTCATCTTTTTCACATCCTTTCTAATTAAAAAAATATATATATTGTAAACAATCTCCGATATATAGAGAAGTTACAAGTAAAGTACACAGAATTTTTTTTCCTGAACCGTTTGTGTGTAAGTTTATGGCATGATGCCCCATCTCATCTGAGTACCTTAGTGTGTATTTCTTTGAAAGGACATGCTCTTACATGACTACAGTGCAACCATTAAAACCAGAAAATAAGCATTGACACATTTTGGCCATCTAATCCTCAGACCCTTATTCCATTCAGATTTAATTGATTGTCCAAATAATGTCTTTTACAGTAAAGGGTCCAATGAGAATTGTGCCTTTCCTGTAGATGTCACATGTCTTTAGAACAAGTCTTTATTTTTTCCTGACAAAACCCTTGGCACTTCTGAAGATTACAGGCTAGTTTTGTACATCCCTCATTTTGAGTTTTGTCTGATATTTCTTCATGATTAGATTCAGGTTATGCATCTTTGGCAAGAATGTTAAACAAGATGCTTCTTATTCCATCCGGTCATGAGTTAATAATTTCATTTTGTCCTTTTGTTGATGGTATTTACTTTAGATCACTGATTAAGTGGTGTCTGCCAGTCTTCTCCATTGTAAAGCCACTCTTTAGGTTTATTTTGTGGAAGGTAGTTTCAAAGTACTGCCTTGTTTCTCATCAAATTTTCATTTTATGTCTTTATAGACTCATGATTTTCTACTTTATCTGTTGGGTTAAATCAATTATTCCCATTACTTTGGTGCTCAAGAATTTTCTAGGTTTGGCCAGTAGAAGACCATTCTAGGTGGCTTCTATATCCTTTTGACATGTCTGCATCATTATTTGAGCAATTTCTTACTCTCTGGCACACGATATACCAGGCTTATGCTTTTTCTGCCCTAGTCCAAGAATCAGCCATTTTTCGAAGGAGTTCTGGTTCTCTTTAGTGAAAAATATTTTTTTTAGAAGTCAAGATCTGTATGCTAGTGAGCAATTCCTGATGATGTGTGTATATAATGTATACATTTACATTTAGATTTTTATATATACATCAAAAACCATGCATTTGCACATAAAATTCCATTTTTAATCTCATGAGATTCATTTTTGTTTTCTCCCTTTCTATGTTTATAACTCTTTTCAACAACAGTAAGAAACCTTATTCCTATTATCCTTAATAAATTTGGTTCCCTGTTCGAGGCCATCCCCCTACATGAATGCCTTCGTCACTGTCTTCAGGCTCCAATGCCCTCTGCCAAGCAGGAATATCCTTCTCACCTGTCTTGAACCCTAACACCCCACTGTGAGCCACTGTAGCCCAGCCACACCATTTGTCAAGATGCCTGTCTTGTTCATGTTATCTAATAACTTTAGAAATGAATTGTTGGGGAAGAGGCTTTTTTCTTTTAATTGACTTCTCGTGTTGACGTTTTAAAAAATTATATTTTGAATAAACATACAGTAAAATTAACTTAATAGTTTTGTAAATTTTAACATACGTAGAGTTGTGTTAGCTCCAAAATTAAATTGAACAGGTGAGTCAGCACAAAAATTCTTTCATGTGAGATTTGGCTTTTCAAGAATTCCATATAAATAGAATCATATGTAATCTTTTTTAAAATCAGTTTTATTGTGATATAATTCACATACCATACATTTCACCCATTTAATATGTATTAATTCAGTGGTTTTTAGTATAGTCACGTGTATTCAACCATTACCATAGTCTTCATTTTCATTACCTCAAAAAGAAACCCCATACCTTTTAGCTATCGTCCGCCCCCCATTTCCCGCCCCAAGCAACCACTGATTTACTTTTCGTCTCATAAATTTCTCTGTTCTGGGCATTTCATATACATGGAATAATAATATGTGGTCTTTGTTTACTGGCTTCTTTCACAATATATATTTTAGAGGTTGTTCCATGTTATGTGCCAGTACTTCATTCTTTTTGTATGTATGGCTAAATAATCTTGTGTGACTAGCACACATTGTTTATCCGTTTGTCAGTTGATAGACATTTAGGAGGTTTCCACCTTTTGGCTATTATGAATGTTGTTATAAACTTTCAAGTACAAGTTTTTTTATGTGCAGTTATTGTTTAGGCTATTTTAAGTATCTTTGCCTTTCTGTATAAAGTTTAGAATCAGCTAGTCTATAGCTACAAAAAGTCCTGCTGGGTTTTTTTTTTTTCTTTTCCCCATTGGAATAGTGTGAAAATCTTCCAACCCATGAACATGGGACATCTCTCCATTTAGGATCTCTTTGATTCCAGTCATCAGCATTTTGTGGTTTTTCAGCTTATGGAACCTTTACATCTTGTGTTAGATTTGTTCCTACGTGTTCATTTTCTGGAGCTTTCGTAAATGATATATTTTTTTGAAATTTTAGTTTCTAATTGCACATCGCTAGTGCTTAAAAATGTTTGATTTATATTTGTTGAACTGTATCCTGTGACCTTGCTAAACATATTAGTTGTAGGTTTTTGTTGATTCTTTGGGATTTTCTGCATAAACCACAAATAAGAACAGTTTTGTCTGTTTTAGTCTCTTGGTCTTTTTTCTTTCCTCATTGCTCTTGCTAGACCAGAAGTGATGAAAGCGACCATCCCTGTCTTGTTCTGGATGTTTCTAAAGCATTCAGTCATTCACCATTTTGTTAACTGTAGATTTTTATAGATGACCATTATCAGATTGAAGTTCTCATCTATTTCTAATTAGCTGAATTTTTTTTATGAGATTTGAATGTTCTCAAATGCTTTTTTGTATTGATTATACATTTTTTAGATGATTAATGTGGTGGATTATATTGGTTGATTTTCAACTGGCTTGTATTCCCCCTCCCTTCCCCCACCCCCCATTCTAAACTTGGTCATGTTGTATTATTCAATTTATATATCTGGATTTGATTGTTGAGGATTTTTATGTCTGTTCATTTGTGATATTGGTTCAACAGGGTGTTTGGTTTTTTTTTGTATTTATTTTGGTTTGGTATCAGGGTAATGCTAGCCTTATAAAATGAATTGAGAAGTGATTCTTCTAATTTGGAATAGATTTGTAGGGTTTGTGTAAAGTCTTCTGTAAATGTGTTATGTGATTTGCCAGTATGGTTTTAAATAATGGAGTCAGTTTTTAAAAATATAGTACTTATTCAGATTATCTAATTTATGTCTAATTTATGTAAATTTTGGTAGTTTCTGTCTTTTAAGGAATTGATCCATAGAATGAATCAATGAGCATAGATTGGTTTGTGGTATCTCCTTAGAATCCTCATGTCTTTAGAGTTTGTAGTGATCTCTCTTCTATTCCTAAGTTTTGTTATTTCTGTCTTTTTGTCAATATTGCTAGAGGTTTATTGATTGTATTGCTGTTTTCAAAGAACTAAGTTGATTTTGGTTTTGAATGTCTAATTTATGTAAATTTTGGTAGTTTCTGTCTTTTAAGGAATTGATCCATAGAATGAATCAATGAGCATAGATTGGTTTGTGGTATCTCCTTAGAATCCTCATGTCTTTAGAGTTTGTAGTGATCTCTCTTCTATTCCTAAGTTTTGTCATTTCTGTCTTTTTGTCAATATTGCTAGAGGTTTATTGATTGTATTGCTGTTTTCAAAGAACTAAGTTGGTTTTGGTTTTGATTTTCCTTGTTTTTTATTTCATTGGTTTTTTTTTTTACCTCTCCTTTTTCATGACTTTCTTCCTTCTGCTTGCTTTGGGTTTATTTTGCTTATTTGGCTTAAAATGGAAGCTTACATTACTGAGACTTTCCCCCTCCCCCCTTAATAAAAGCATTGACACTTATACATTATTTCCTAAGCACTGGTTTAGTTCTATTCCATTTATTCTGGTATTTTCATTTTAATTTAGTTTGAAATATGTTATTTCTCTGTAGACTGCACCTTAGAGCCATGAATTAGAAGTCTATTAATTTCCAGTGTTCAGAGATGTTTTTTCCCTTTATTTCTAGTTTATGATCAGAAAACATACTTTGTATTTCAGTTCTTTTAAATTTCTTGAGGTTTTATGACCCAGAATATGGTCTATGTTGGTGAATGTTCCATGTGCACTTGAAAAGAATGTTTATTCTGCTGTTTTAGGATGAAGTTTTTTTGTCAAGTAGATCCAGTTGGTTCTTGGTATTATTCAGTTCTTCCACATCTTTGCTGATTTTCTAGTAGTGAGGAGTGTTTTAAATAGTTATAATTGCAGCTTTGTCTATTTTTTCTTTCATTGCTGTCTCTTTTTGCTTCTTTCATTTTTAAGCTCTGATGTTAGGTGCATACATATATATTTAGGATAGCCATGTCTTCTTTGGTGAATTAATTTTATCATTATTGTCTCTCTTTTTCACTGCTCACTTTGTTCCTAAATCTACTTTGTTGAATTAATAAAAAATTGGCTTATCTTGTAATTCATCTTATTTAACTTATGCTTAGTTTTTGGTTTATGAAATATTATAGGTTTCACAGAGTAAGCAATAACACATTTTATAAAAAATTAATGTTAGTATAACATAGGGAAAATAAATTCTCAAGTGTTCTACAAACACTGATGTGGCCAGTGGTTAAGAGCACAGCCTGTGGGTCAAAACTGCCTGGATTTGAACCCCACCTCCAAGTACCAGGTATGTGACCTTGAGCTAATCCCTTACCTTCTGTGTGGTTCAAGTTCATTTATAAATGGGGATAACCTCATATAATTTGGAGGATTACGTAAGGTGATTCATATAAAATATCTGACAGTAGCACCTGACAGTAAAAACTACTGTACTGTTGCTAACCACATTAGATCAGAAATTTCTATTGTTTAGATAATATGTTGCACAACTGGAAATACACATAAGGTTCAAGTGCCCTTTTTAAAAACAACACTTGTGAAAAGGAGTTATTAAATATCTAATCAATTAGATATTAAATATCTAATCTGAGTCAAGTGCAAAAGGAACCTTCTAAGTTTTTCTTTCATCAGTAACTCCTTGCAGTGTCCACTTTGTCTTGTTAGTTTAATTAAACATGAACATTCAAAATTATATATTGTTTCAGCTCAATAATAACTACCAATTGATCTAAGCAGACTAACACAATACTTGGCAGTTACTTGTTCTTACCAACCACCTTGCTGGAATGCTGTTTAATTAGGTAAGAGGGTTTGCACAGAACTTCAGATGTGCTGACTCTAAGGTGAATTTGTATTAAGGATATCCACAGTAGTGACAAATCTAATGACAAAAGTGACTGCAGTAAATAAAAATCAACTTTTTTAATGCACACTAAGCATATTTGTCATCATCGTGTATGTTTTAAAAAACCATTAGTGAGTAAAGCGTTTAGTAATCGCCATGCATTTAAAGATTTTGTTTCCGCTACCATGCATCTTAGTGTTACATTTAAATATACTGAGTAGAGATCGCTTCTTGTTCTGCCGTCAACATTGCCAAAACAGTTAATTAAATCAGAAGAGGAACAAATAGAAAACATGATGCATTTCAGTAACTTTATTGAAATGTGTATCCCTCAGAACCAAAACATAATGGTAGTTGGTTTGGGTACCTCTGCCAACTCAAAATCGACACTGGTGTAATCAAAACATATTAGCTTTTTGGGAAAACTGAAAAGTTATCTACAAAATATGGTTTACAAAAGTATAAGATACACTGTAGTTCTTTGGTTTATTTTCCAGTGCATATTTACCCTTAACATGATGTTAAAATTGGGTACAGCCATCCTGGATGGACTCAAGCTACAGATTGCATTGAGTAACCATTTACAACACTTTTAACACTGTATATCTCTTTATATTCACTGACTTAATAGAAAATCCCCAACACTACCTCAGCAACCTCATGATTATGAAGACGCTTATTTACTTAAGACTTTCTGTTGACACAGCAGGGGCAATTAGTGAAAGTATAGTTAAACAAAATTCTAAATTAGAAGCAATGGCGGTTTTATAAAAAGTCCTTAGTAAAAACTTCTGGAGTGTTAAATCACCATGTTTTCAGAGTGATGTTAATTTATTTTGAGTTACTAATACAATAAAAACAAATTTTTTGGCGGAACTAGATTGAAGCAGATTTTGTATAAAAACATTTTTATCATAGATACAAACATCACCTGCTTTCTATAAAAAATTTTACGTGTATTTCCTGGATAAAGTCCACATCTCTGGGTTATCTATTCCTTGCATTACGGGTGCCAAAAAACCATTTTCACTGTCTACAGTAATGGCCCTTGTTATGCCTTAAAAGTGCATTCGTGAAATGTTTGTTTTGATGTAAACCTCATCATTTAAAATTAAAGTTTATACCAAGTAGGTTACCATTTTTAATACCACCTAAATATATTGACCCAAATAGAAAGTTGGGTCAGCATCAAAAATGAAGATTCACAGTTTACCTTCCTAGACTTGTCATTAGCATTTCACATTTATGCTCTTGGCTTTGTTTGTATACCTCACAGGTGAACTCAAATTTAAGCATAATTTCACTATAGCATAATGTTAATTAGGCAGTTTTCCCAAATCTGAGCACATCAATGCTAATCTAGTTGTGATGTTTTGAGGCTTCACAGCTTAAATCCATGATAACATGGAATCCATAGCTCAGGATTGTAGAGAAAGGCTTCAGAGGAGTTTGTTGTAATAATCCTATTTAAACAAACAAAAAATCAAGTTATCAGAAGTCTACCAAACAAATATTATGGTTAAAAATGAACTATTTATATCTAAGATTTATAATCATGCCATATTAGATTTGTTAAATGTTAATTTAGTTTTAAACAGGAAAAAAGTTAAATCACTATGAGTTAGATTTAGATGTCAAGAATGTAAATGTCAGTGACAACTGCATTTAACTACTTTCCAGTGTTCCAATTGCTATAGCAATGATAAACAACTATAGGATTGGGATACCCTGGCATTTTTCAGACACGCAATGTGAAAACCATCTGCCATACTTACATCTTCTATAAGTATAAATCCAAGATCATACTGATTTTGTTTGTAAGCTTAACAGTCTCAAATTATGGTTCAAACTTTTGGTCCTATTATGTTACTGAGGCTTGTGTAACTTTAAATGAGCCAGAGCTTGAGTCTACATATAGCAAAATCATGTGTGATTAAGAATTACTGTTTTAATGCTACTTTTAAAATTTAGATTATTAAAGAGGGTGCTGTTTTCTAAGCTGATAATTTTAAAAAATGGCTAACGTACATATCAAAGGTTATATAATTCCTTACTCTTAGGGTGTTGTGTCTTGAATATAGTAAATGCTCTTAAATATTAGCTGGCTAGATCAGTGAAGTCATTTTTCCATTTGTTATTCCAACTCCATTTTGTTTATTTTGAAAATAATTTAGATATTCTTGAATTGTAGAAAAAATTATAGTATTAGAAAATTTTCTCTATATGGAGAATAACTATGAACTAAATTTACCAATTAAGGGACTGTTTCAGGAATTGTCGGAAGGTGGGTTATTCTGTAGTAACTATGCTTCAGTTGCCTTGCAGTATGTCCAGGAACAATCCATTTCAACTTCTGAACATTTGGTTTGGAACACTTGTTTGATGAATATTCAGTTAAACACTTGGATACAAGCTCTTGCCAGAAGGTCAAATCTCTGCCATTTATCTGTACATAAATTTAAAAACATATATATTAATTAAAAGTCCTATGGTGTTTAACTATAGTAATAACTACAATCTTATTAACAATACCCTTGTCAAAAAAATTTGAGGATAAGCTATTTAAGTTTCAAACACATGGTGTCTCATTTTATTTCAGGAGACAGTACAAGTAGTTTAGTTTCTTTTATAGCTGTTAACAGGATTTACACAATGACCTTGACATACCTTGGAATGTTTCTGAAGACATCCTACTCCTTCTGTTAATTCTACACACTTCTGTGCTTGGATCTCCAATGCAATGATAGACAATGCCAATACAGAAGGCTAAAAGAGATAAATTTTAAAGTAAATGTTGAATATAAAAACAGGTATATATAAATAGGTTTACTCTTTATATGAAGTATACCTTTGCTTTAGAAAATATGATCCTACAGTGGCATGCCTTAAGTTGAGCTTCTAGTCTTTCAAAATTAAGGCTATTCCTCCTTTAAAAAGAAAATGAGAGATTAATTTTATTTATTTTACTAATTTTATATCTAGTCAAAAGACAAATTTTTTAAAAAACACAAGTCACTTTGAAAGTTTATGTACACTTTTCATAGAAAATAAATTATTTAAGGTAAAGACCTCAATGTCTCTAAACCTTTCCTTTAGAGACATTAATTCCTTAAGGATATACATGAATTTTAAATGATTTGGGCCAAAAAATAAAAGGTATAATGCCACAACTATCAAGGCTTCTTTTCATTTTAATGTGTTTCTGGATATACTGAAGTTCCTTTCTCCATATAGATGATTACCCACTGGAGTCTATAAATTAATCTATACATGGAAAATAGTGTAAATAAAAGTTGAACTGTCCTTTAATTCCAACAATTAGCCTTCAGGCTTCAAGAAGCTTTGGATAACTGCAAGTCTTCTCACTTCTGGTGGACAGTGAGTGAGATTCAAGGAGCTGCAGCTGCCATTTTACTTATTTTGGATTGGAATTCTCCCAGAATACTGATTTTAAGCAACATTCAGACAATACCATTCTGATTTCTAAATCTTTGTTCAAAACAAAGATCACATACCTTTCAAATGGCAAGTTTTCTTGAATGAGTGAATAATAGAGTTGCAGAAATTGAAAGGCAGTAGTAGCTTTGACTTTCCAACACACTTTCTCCAACACAATCTTTTCCATTCTCATCAAGTCTGAAACTGTGAACCTATATTGGCTTATCCGGATTAAGTCAGTTGCCAGTGGGACATTCCTTTCTTCTTCTATTGATTTTACGGCCAAGTAGAAGCAGCTCAGTCCAACACACCCAAGGTGCTTGGGCTGTACCTAAAAAGACAAGCCCTTGTGTTTACCTTATTTCAATAAAAAGGATAATCTTGAATTCAGACCCATCATTATAAAAAACATGTCTGAGGTATATTTCTCAACTGTGAGGGAATTAACAAGATCAATTATAGCCTATCGACCCACTTGGAATCAATTTTGGAGTAACTGGACTAAATTGTAGAATAATGTTTGAGTTTAGCACATAAACCTTTTTTTTTTTTTTTAATCTCTGTAAACTATAAACGCTGTGTTTTAGTTGGACCAAATTAAGTTAACTGGTCAAAGGCTTACAAAGGACTGAAACACCTTACAGCTTATACACACAATACACATAATTTCTTTCCAGAATGTTGTTTTTCCAGGCTGTTTTCTTTGCAGTAACACATGCAAAGTAGTTTAAAATACTATAGCACGTACCTTTTACTCTGCCTGTAAAGCTCTATCCACTACCAATCTCTTCTTTTTATTTGTCATTTTCTGAATGTCCACAATATGAAATAGTCAAAGTTCTATCCACTCTAAGTTCCACATCAAAAGAAACTTTAAGAAGCCTTTACCAGTGTCTGTAATCTCTTCTTGGAACCCCTTCGGCACTATATTGATGCCTCTTTAGAGGTACAATTATTTTTCTTATGCCTTGTACTGTATGATAGCTATTGGCACAAACGTTCTCACATAAGACTAATATACTTAAGGGACAGATGTATATTATTCATCTGCGCAACATTTATAGATGCAAAGGTAGTGCCTGCACATGCTGTCTCGAGAGTTTAGTCTTGCCTTTTCCAATAAACCAGTTATTGAATTCCTCCTGTATGATGCATGGTGTTAGGTACTGAGGGTACTGAGGACTAAAAGATGAGTTTCATTTCAATTGTCTGGTCATCTCATTATCCACCACTGACCATGGACTCAAAAGAAGGCTAAGTTAGCTTGGAAAACTACACCGATGAGCTGCTTTTCCAATATAGGGAAATAATTATATCATTTCCTTCAGAAGATACTCTCTACTGTATGCAAAGTGATGCTAGAAATCTAAGGCTAAAACAGAACTTTATACATGAATAGAGATTAGGAAATATACTCTGTTGACCAAGTGGTTGACAGCGTCAGGAAAAAAAAAAGAAATATGCTCTTAGTTATTAACCACAATCACATTCCAGTAACATTTTTTAAATTGAAAAACAATAGTAAATAAATGAAAATACCCAGCATATCAAGAAAATTTTTTAAAAAACAAGTTCTTCTACTGAGACTGCAATTAATGATTTAGACTTATTTTTCAGTGTCAAGTTAAATCTAATAATGCATTACTGGAGTATAAGAAGAGTATTTACTGATGCTGTAGTACACAGAATACCATGTTTTTGCTACTTGCTAAATTAAAAAAAGGTCAAGTTTATGAATACCAGCCCAAAGCTAGAAATTCTATCTCCAAAACACATTGAGCAAAACTAAGGAACACTCGGGGTAGTGTAGCTTTAAACATACCTTCATTTTGGACAGAAATCTGTCCAGTAAATTCACAGCTAGAGAAAATGTCTCCGTGTCAAAGCCAAAGAACTGAGTTAGACTAAGAAGATCTTTTACTTCAAAGTCCCTTAGTCTTGCAGTCATCCTGAGGCCGTTATCATGTGCAGATTCAATTAGTCTCAAGCCGCAGACCTTTGGCTGACATTTCGACTCCTGTTCCAACAGGGCATTTAGCTGGTGTAGCAGTTTCTGGGAGTCAGTTGTTGTCAGTACCTCTATCATCTATATATAGAACAAAGCCCAGAAAGGAGTGTAAGAATAGCCCTTCCTGCACTACATTGTGCCAAGTGCTTTATAAGGCAAGTCTCCCCTCCCCCAGTGCTGCTAGTGAATCTAAGTCATTACAAAGTGCTGTCTGTCATGCACCCTCAATCAGTTGGTCACATCCTAAATTATGAGTTTCTAGAGGGTAGGAGTCATGCTTTAAAATAAAAATGCAAATATTCAAGAAATACTTGTTCAAGTCATTCATTGTCAAGAGAACTATGAACAGATGCTATAGGTTAGCATACCACAAGTTTGAAATTAGATGGCCTTATGTATTCCGCTACATATTAACGATGTAAACTGTTCAAGTTAATTTTTAGTCCTTAGGCCCTCATCTGTAAAGTGGGTCTGAGGTTATTACCTACCTCAGTGACTTGTGTGAAATAAATGAGGTCACCTAGTTATAGAGTTTAGCACATACAGTAGGCGCCTAATCAACACTGGACAATATTAATGAACTTATTTCTACGTCTGTAAAATGAAGTGACAATATCTGTCTCTGGCTGTGTGAGGATTAAACAAGATGATTCACGTCACGCAGAGTTTAGCACAGTGCTTGGCACATAGCGCTCAACCATTAACTTATTGGTGTTAAGAAAAACGTAGCGGGGACGGGAGGCTAATCTAGCCTGCAAAATGAACTCAGGGTCCTTTTATCAAATGAAATTTTTATTAGTAACTTTATTAATTATTGGTATTGTACATCAATGTCTCGGGCACAAGCTCAGTCCTGCATACACGGACGGTCCCTCCCGACACCAACTGAAAGACAAGAAGGCGGGGATCTTTCGAGTTGGACGACGGAAGGGGTGGGGACTAACTTTTAGGGTCTCACTGAGTCGCTGCAGGGCTGGTTCCTAAGACTCCGCCAGCCTGACTCTGAGACACCTCGGATCCACGACAGGTCGGCCCTGGCCCCGCCCCTCCAGGCTCGAACTAGCCTGGGCTTGTCGCTTCCAGCAGCGGAGAACTTGTTGAGGAAACGGGCGCGGGCCAGACCTACCCTCAACCCGCGCCCCCAACCTCGCTCCCCACCTGCACGCCGAGGCCAACCCCGCAGTCCCAGCTCACCTTGACCGCGAACGCCGCTCCTCAGCCGTAATCGCCCTCCCCGGGCCTGCTCTCACCTCAGCCCACGATATCAGACGCGAAAAGCCTACGAGGCGAGGGGACTCGCGGGCAGGAGGGGAGAGGCCCGGGGAGGGGGCGCTGTCCTGGGTGGAGGTCTCCGCAGCGCCGCCCAGGTGACACTGCCCTCCCCTGGGTCAGCTCGGAGCCGAAGGGACCACGACTGACCTCCGGAGTAATATATTGGAGGGCGGGGCCTTCCTGCAAAGAGGGTGGGGGGAATTTTCTCCGCTGATTGGTGTAATGTTTTTGATGGATGGTCCCACGGACCAAAGAGAGCTGGTCCTCGGAACGAATCAACTTCTCACTCCTTGAGACCACGCCCCCTACGTCTAAGCGTCAGTCATTGGAGAATTTTCTAGTGTCTTCAATGAAGAGGAGGGCGAACTAAATGCTTCGTGAACCAACCCTGGCCCTGGTAAGGTGTCTGCTGGAGGCCGGATTGACCAGAATAACATTCCAGAATGTACTGGGTGTTTTTGGAACGTGCGGTTTAGTAGAGCCATTCTGCCCCTTTTCTAAAAGCACAGTGGCTAGTTACCAAAAAAAACAAAAACAAAAAAACCCAAAAAAGTAACGCCAGCTTTTTCATTACAGATGGAGATTTTCTTTGGTGTAGTTTATTAAATTCCAGAGGTTTCTCTTTGTTAGCTTTGGAAGTTAATTGGCCCTTCCTTTATTTTCCTTTTTGTATAATTTGTCAAAGAATGGAGTTGGGCAACAATTCTTGGGCTTAAACTGATTTTCTGAATTTGATTTTTTAGCAAATTCAAATAGAAAATTTGGTAGTTTTTCAGTGGCTTAAGATGAAAGGTGTGTGGTTGACTTGTAAGAGAAATACATGGGCAAAATAATTGTAATGGCTCTGACTCTCAACTCACAGACCCTTGTCTGAAGGAATATCCTTTTTATTTACTGTCACTGAACAGTCTTCGATTGTGAGTCTCTGCCAGGTTATTGGGAACAAAATTGACCTGCCTTCCTGAACTCCCTAGCCCCGCCCTCCCAGATTGTCACAAATAAGAACCGTCTACATTAAAAGGTCCTCATGACTGGTGAGCAAGGAGTCAAGTACCAGTGCTCATGCATTGTACTTCAATCTCTCTGTTCTTGTGGCCTCTTCCTGGTTAATGGTTATCTGGGCCTTGAAAAAGTGAAAATCTGAAAGGTTTGTCGGCCTACCATGTGTTTCCGTGAGGCAGTGCCACAGAACCAGGCCCTGCAATGGGGGCAGAGTTGTGGGGAGGAAGAGGAAGAGTAAACCGAGGAGAAAGAGTTAGTATTGCAAAATAATACCTCAGCCACATAATCAGGTCAGTTTGACTAAGTGTAGCCTTGCAACTGAGTAAGGGGCCGTTGTCTTCCCTGAAAATAAACTTATGTAATGAACATAAATGGGCAATTTAAAACATTTAAAAAGTACTTATTACAATAATGTGTGAGTTCACAAATGCACACATTTCTCCTTTTGGCTTTAGTAACAAAATTACAAATATATATTCCCGCACACTCTTCACTAATATCTATTGAACACATAAAGTGTGCCAGTGGAGAACAAAATTAACTTGTCCCTGTTCTTACGGAACCTGTAGTTGTGTGGATGATAGAAACACATAGACTTTGGAATACAACTGACTTATTTTCAAATCACAGGCTACTAACTAGAAAATAAAACTTTTCTCAAAAGTGGGAAGTAAAAGTACATTATTCATAGAGTATTGAGAGGATTAAATAATGCAAAATACATAAAGAGGTAGGCACTGTGCCTAGAACAGAGTAAGTACCTAATAAATAATAGCCTTTATTATTATTTATTAAATTATTTATTATTAAATTATTACTTTAATAATTAGCAATTAATAATTAAATTACTAAATTACTAATATTTCTTTTGAAATGGCTCAGCGAAACATTCATTTGATTGTGTTTTCTCTATTGTCGACTATCTTCTATTCTCAGTCTCGAATCAGAGTTTTAGAATTATTTAGAGGTATATCTAAATTGCATATGTTAAATTCTACACCTTATTTATATTTGAAATTTTCACATGAAGCTTTAGATATCATTATTTATGTGATAAAAATGTTTTCTCTGATATTAGGGTCCTGTTATTTTATTAAATTCAAAATTCTCTACATGAAAATTTATTTCAGTAGCACTGAAGAAACTTTGGTTAAATAACAATCAAATCAATGGGACAGTCTACCTTTCTCCTTTTTTTTCACTCCCCCACTGTCAGTTTTATTTCATAATGTTAGAATGCAGACTACCATTTAAACGACTTTAAACACTAATTAGCAAAATGTGCAAATATACTCAATTATGTACTCTTGTAAAAGAAAGTGAGACCTTCATCGACTATGGTTTTATTTTTAAAGATGTGTAGATTTAGTATTGAATTTCTCTGAGGAATTTTTCAAATGACTGACTTCTAGGGTATTTTCTAGGCTTAGTGATATATTCAGCTGCCATCTTCATATTTCTTCATTAACAACAGTTAAATGCAGCAAGAACTGGAGCTCAGAAAAATAGCCTTGAGACTAGGCAAGAATCCCAGGCAGTAACAGGAAGATTTAATCATAATCATCTCTACATTGCAGACTGCAGAAGTGCCTTTGAGCAACAAAAATTTTAACACACAGGCATAGCACTGGTGGTGTGTGAAGTGCTGCCCTGACTCATAGGGAAATTCCTCATTGGTTCTGTTTTTATCCTGGAGATTGGAGGAGGCTTTGCACCTTGCCCTCTGTTGAGGCTCCCTGACAGATGCCCAGAAGTTTGGATGTAGGCTTGTCAACAGTGATCAGGGCTGGGGAAGTGAGGATCAAAAGGATCTCAGCCAAGTCTTGTTCCCTTTACTTCCTTATTCTTCCTGGCACTAATTACAGCCCTTGCTACCTCTACAGCTATTATCTAGTGGATCTGCTATGTCTTATGCATTCGAAGAGAACTTGCTTGGCAGTGAATTCTTTGAGTCTTTATTAGCCCATGGGATACCAGAGAAATTGTGTGTAGTTGGTGGTGGTGGGGAGACAGGGAGAAGTTCACATAGAAAACAGATTACTAATGTCACGTATATCTTGCCATTCAGAGATTCTAGCTACTTTAGATAAAGGAACTCCTTCCAATTAATTGAGATTTTACTGTATTCCATGAAAAACTAAACTTTATTTTTCAGGTAACCAGTGCTATGTAAAGGCACTGGGAGACATTAGGGAGAGATCTGCTCTCTAGCATTTAGTCCAACAGCCATAGACTGTTGTGTGCAGAGCTCAAAGCCTAGATCAGCCAATAACAATAAGAGTTAGCATTTGTTATATACTTCTCATGTTATATATTTGGGCCACATACCCTGCGGCCCCAAAACTATACCATTTTAAATGTTATTTTCCCATGTGCCAGACCATGTGCTGAACTTAAACACACATGATCTTATTTAGTCCTCTTACAACTCTGATATTACCATGCTCTTCAGAAATGAGGTATATTTTGTATGTCTCCTATTCAGTAACTCCTATTTATTGTTTACTAAATATGCTTTACACATAACTTGAACTTGGATTATACTCATTTTTTTGAAAGTTTTTATTTTGGAACATTTCAGACTCAATACCCAGCTTCAATAATCATTAACATTTCTCCCATGTTTCCTATTTACTTTCTGTTTGACCATTCAACAGATATTTTATGACGACTTTCTAAGTGCCAGACTATTGTATTTTGTAGTCCCAGATTTAAAATGTTGAGGTTTTGGGGCCACAGGTTGTGTTGTTTGTTGTCCTCTGTGAAGGTAAGGAATTAAAAGGATCAGCTGGGTCATTATCCTCTAGGTTTATTTCTTCTCTAGTCTGAAGCCCACACTGAAGCTGTCTTGCGACTGATGCTTTGGTAGGACAGGGTGGGAATGGAAGAGATTCAGCCTCCTTATTCAGTTTTCTGGCTAGGTTGCTAAGCTTCCTCCCACAAAAGGGTTCATGTGTGTACACACACACATACTACATGGAAGGTTTTGATAGAGTTGAGACTTGGGAAATGGATCACTGTACTTTCTAATCTAGCTATTTGGTCCCTTTGCATTGTACTAGAATAAAGGACCTCATAGGTCAGAACTTTTGTCCTCTAGGTTGACCTTAAACTGGGAAGGGCTTTCTTATATCAGGTCACCACTTTCCTGATTTCTTTCACCTTTTAATTCTTTAACTCCTGATTTGAATTTTGAAAGATTTAGCCAAGTGAAGAGGCTGATGCAAAGGGCATTCCAAAAACAACAGTATGTGCAAAGGGACAGAAGAAAGGGAAAGTAGATTTCTGCTGACGAAGTATGGATTACTCTGGCTAAACTGTGGAGAGTGGGTGTGTGTGTGTCTAGTAGTGTGATGAGGAGAGAAGCAGGTGCTTATCCTGAAGGGCCATGTATGCCGTGTATACCATTCTTGGAAATTTGGACTTTATTCTACAGGCTTTGGGGAACCAACTATGGAATTTAAAGAGACGACAACAATTGGATTTGTAATTTAGAATGGCCATTTGACATCAGCGTGAATATTGGAAAGAGGGCACCAAGAGCGGAGTCAGGAAGAGCAGTTGAGTCCATTATCTTAACCTAGGAAAAAAGTGACAAAATTGAACTGAGGAAGTGAGAGTGGGAATGGAAAGAAGGAGATGGAGTCAAGGAACCATAGGAGGTAAAGCCGATAGATTGTGGCAGTTGATTAGATTTTATTAGGGTATCAGGAAGATGGAGGAGTCAGGAATAATGCTCAAATTTCTGGTTGAAGCAAAAGGTTGAATGGAAATTCTGTATATGTGCTATGATCAGGAGATATAGGAAAAAGACCAGTTTGTGGAGAAAGACTCTAATGTGAGCTAGAGATGTCTTCCAGGTGGAGATGTCCAAAATGCACCTTGAGAAATATTTGGTGCTGCAGATAGTTTTGGGACTTGTCAGAATATAGGAGGTAATTTGAGTCATGGCAGTAGATTAGTTAGGGACAAGAGAGACAAAAGAGAATATATTATAGGAATCCAGAGAAAGTGTTTCAAGGAGAGAGTGAGACCAGTATATGATGCTGCAAAGAGGATACTATGAAGTATTATTGACAAGAAGGAGAAAAAATGAAATCAATGAATGTATAAACCACCCTTGCAAGCAGC